CTTTGGCTAGGCTCTGACTTACACTGTCTGGGTGATGTACTGTGTGTGCAGAAAGCTTTTAGTGGCTTCATCTTTTATTCCACTGCGGGGATGTTCAACTCACCTTGATCAGTACAAGCTGCACTCACACTTGGCTAACACACTAAAACCACAAGACACTCATAGGTATTTAGATTATATTGACACAAATAATTGACACAAATAATAATGACATTAGATTGAAGCTTGCTTGAGAGAAGGTGCTTGGCAGCAGGTTAGCTCTTGAATGGTGTTTATATAAGGTCAATTCATTTGTAATAAGGGTATGTAGTCCTTCTGATTATTAGAGTATTAGACATGGTCAGTCTTACATGTCTTATTCGAACCAGATTGACATTTTACAAAGACTAGAACACAGCAAGGTGGCAAGATTCACTCCAATTCTAAGTGTCTGAGGGGCCTTTCAGAGAAGGCAGTAGAGCGTAAACTCTCCCAGAAGACATTTTAGTGGATATTCTGGGGGTAATGAACACGGGAGCGGTTCATAGTCATAGTCTCAGTGTGGAGTCAAATGAACCTTGTGAAAATGTATAAGTGGAAAGAGCTGATAATGTGCAAGAGAGGGATATGTAGAGCTAAGTAAGAATATAATATCCAGATGTGGAGGTTTAGTTGTGGTCTGTTTGTCTTTTACTGAGAAATTTAGATGCTCAGATTAAAACTTGTTCGATAGTGAGAAGTAAATAATGAGAAGTAAACAGCTGAAAGGCTCCCGGACCACAGGAGAGGCACAATACACGCTCCTTTTCACTTGACAAAACATGCAATCCAGAAACGAGTGGAGTGCATCTGTTTGTCCCTTGTGTTAGAGTGGAACTCAATCACTCGCCTCGTCAATAAAACCTGATTTCCCTATGGAATTGTAGAGGATGGCAGGCCTCAATCATCTGATTATGATTTAATTGAATCAGTTTCCTGAAAAACACTAAAAATCTAACAGTGCCCCTGAGGAATGCAGTTTGCTGATGCATTAAAGATATTGAAAGGAATTAGTTTTCTGTTTATGTGGCGCATAGTTATTTTAAGTTTCAAATAGCTTGTCATTTGTAGAATTACTGTAGATTTTGTCAATTTTTTTAAAGCATTCACTGTCACATAACTGTCTTTTAAAATGCATTGTAGTTTTAATGAAACTAAATGTTTACATTATTAGTGAACAGAGGAACATATGAACAACTGGGAAAACAGCCAAAATAACCACACATTGCAGCAGACACTGTGCACAACTAGTCGTGGGTCATTCCCTCCATCTTGCGGTTTGCTCTCCCCAGCAGTGAGAGGGACAGGCCAGCTGGGGCGGTGGCTGCAGTAGTGAAGAGGGACAAGCGTTCTATGAGTGCTAGCAGTGAAGAGAGCATGGGGAGCTGGTCCCATATAACCCCTGAGGATGACCCCCACGAGGAGACCAGTAGTTTTATCCAGCTGAGCGAGGGGTCAGTAACCGTTGCTCCTTGATACCGCTCCAAACGCTACTCCCACCCTCACCCCACTCCCATTGGCCCATTGCTACTGACACTTGTGCTCTCCTGTGCCAATGCCAATTTACTTCTTGCTGCTGCAATATCCACGCCTGCTAAGGCAGTATATGGCAGAGAGCTCGCTCCACAAAGCCCTCTCCATAGCTCGCATACAGGGCTAGATCCTGCCTGCACCCCACGCACAACTATCTGCAGTAGTAGGCTGCAGCAGCACAGCGCTGTGACCTCTCACATCAAAAGCCTCTAGTTCAGAACATTTGCTACCCCATTCTCTGCTTCATCAAATTCTCATTCCTTTTAGCCAACCACACCAACGTTTTCAACTTTTACCAAATAGCCTGGAGTCACTGCTCTGTGCTTGCTAGTTGAAATAAGTTCACAGTAGAAATGCCCTTCTTTCACTTTGTCTTTAAAAACAACTTGTATGCTGTGTTTATGGACCAAATGATGTTACAAACACTGAAGTAAACATTATAAACTGCATATTTAAATGCATTTACTTTATTGATATATGCTGAATAGAGAGATGGAAGGCTCCATATGTTCAGACTGGCAATGATATAGGATACTTGCTTTTTGCTTAATTAACTACAAGTGAACTGCACCACCATAACACTTGCTGCTCCTTGCAACCTCTCCATCTACCTGCTTACTTTAACTCCACCTCATTCCTAATCCATGTTGTGACACAAGGGCATGGCTTCCAGCCCTGCCTGTCCACCCTACTTGCCTAAACTACCTCCAAATCTCCTCATCTTCATATTCAGACAGGCTTGCTGCTGGACCACAATCACCAGCTCTCCCACCTTGAGCATCCGATCCTGCTGCAGCTGCTATTTATATGTTAATCACCAGCTAATGAACAACATGACCTGCATCGCTGCGCCTGGTTTTTGTTCTCTTCACAAGTCAGCGATCATGTCGGATGTCTTGAGACAACGTACAGATGACGCTATCTCTTGTTTTTATTGGTTAACAGGAACGGGACCAGCAGTGCATCCAGCCTAGGCCTGGCAGACCTGGATGCTTTTTCTGATGTGCCCACTCAGAGCACTGTAATCAGGTAACTGTCAGTGTCACACGCTGGTGCTGAAATATTTCTCATTAATGTGTCACTCTGATGCCCATAATGACATTTTTTTTCTAACACAACTGAAGCTCTCCAGATAGTATATTGCTTTTTCTCATTTTCTTACCCAGAGCGCAGCAGTCGTGACATGGTGACATGTGACTCTGACAGGCTAACGGACTAACACTCATGCAAATGACAGATTATAGCTAATTGCGTATTCCTTTGTCATTCTAGCACAGACAATAATGTTCTGTTTAATAGACATAAAAGCCTTTCTGCTGCATTTCTTTTATTCTCTATATCTCTATAGCTATCTCAACTGTAAAGTTTAAAACACATTCAGATTAACAGTGTAATATACCTTAAATGAAAGGAGTAGAAAATGGTAATAGACACTTGAAATGCGCTTATTCACGTTAAGATGAAGTTAGATGAAGTAGTCAGGCACAAAACTCCCCATAAAACCGCAATGTATAATTTTACATTTTGGTTTTCGACTGATTACACAAACAAGACGTATCTTTTGTTTGAGGCCCTGGTAGGCAGGTTTTATTACCTTTAGACAGACTCATGCTAGTAGTTACCTTCATTTGCCAGCCTGTATGCTAAACTAAGCTAACCAGCTGTTGGCAATCGTTTGATATTTACTGTCCAGACTTAACAGTTCTCATCTAATTCTTGGCCTCCTTGCCAAGAAATAAGTGTATTTCCCAAAATATGGAACTAGTTCTTGAAGTGATACTGTATGTTGCCGTAACTTTGAATTGGTATATTTTTTTCCTCAGCGAGGAAACAGAGAAAGGCCATCTGGCAGGAACCAAGGAGAATGTCTTTGGTAAGTGTAGTGATGGAGTCATCTCAATGTTATCAACTTTTTAATTATTCACCACCGTTGTCAGCTTCTCTCTACTCACCAAGAGCTCTTGAGTGACCCGAGGTACAGTATGTGCTGGGTCCGTGTGATTAATCTCTCAAATGCATGTGCTTGAATATAATTCTCCTCTCTGAAATAAGGATGGTCATCAATAATTAAAAAGGGCCCATAGATCCAGAAGTGTATCCACGCAAAGTTCATCTTTGTTTAATGACTCCAACCAAGATTATCTCAAAGCAAAACTGAGCCCAGAATATTTCTATTTTATGAAACACGTTGTATGATTGCATGCAGAGGTTTGGCATGATGGCTTTTGATGTCCAAGTACAGAAAAGAATGTATTGTTTGTGCAGTCCTACAGCGCTTTGATATGAGGACAACATAGTTAACATTCAAGGTGTGTAATATAGGGATGCCCTCCTGCTATAATATGCCCTGTCATCTTTCTCAGAGACCAACTCGGTGAGGACAGCTGGCAGCAGTAGCAACCTCAGAGTGCTGTTGGTGGTAAACTGTGATCTTGAGCCTGAGTGCGTAGACTCTGAGCTGAGAGTGGCCCTGCAGTGGATTGCTGCCTCAGAGCTGGGCCTACCTGCTCTCTACTTCAGGAAGTCCAAAGAGAAGAGGCTCGCAAAGGTAGGCATAGCTGTCAAATCAACAAACATAAAAGCATGGGGGACTCAGTTTTCACTCAAATTCTGCTGATTGTAGTTTTCTTAGATTATTAGAACCTTGTTTTAGATACTGATGCTGAAAATAATTAAAGTCTTTATGTATTTATTTATTATTGTATTTATTGTTGGTCTAAAAGTGTTGTGATTTAAATATATTGTAGCAGAAGTCTGTCTATGATGTATTTCTCACCATATGTAGGTATTTTCTACATTTCTGCCCCCTTGTTGCTAAAATGTGCAAATTCCATGAACAATACAGAGTGTATTAACAGTGTCCCCAATGGTAGCCACTTTGGGAGCAATTGTTATATATTGGGAATCTATTTTACATTTAAAAAAGTTACAATTAAACTATACTGTAAAATTCTCCATTAGTCAGAAAAGTGCTGACCATGTATTGTATCTATTCTTGTTGGATTCATTACGCGTGTCTTCTTGCAGTTCCAGAGGGTGGTCCATCTGATGTCCCAGAAGGCGTGGCGGATTGCAGACTTGTTCAGCGCTGTTGTTCAGTTCTGTAAGCTCCACGAGAAAGAGGAAGAAGAGGGCCGGTCTCTGTCCAGCCTGTTTGATTGGCTGTTGGAAAACCTGTAGGGCGGACTAGCTTCCTCATACTGCAAACAAAAAACCATACGCTCACTCATTCACTCACACTTCTAACATGTTCCCAACTGTTTGCCCCTTCCTGTCTCATCACACCAAGTGTCTCCTACTGCTGGCTGTAAGGACCAACGCGAATTAGCATACTTGAGAAATTCATAAACTTCAATCCGTCTATGGAAACTCAGTTTTTTTGTCGGTTCGCAAACCATGAACGGACAAGTCTCCCTTTAATAAAAGCATGCTTTTGTTTTCAGATTCACCTCTCTAGTGAGACACACACACAGAGCAAACTGTAGGTGTACGGGTTGGACATTCCTGATGGGAATGAACTAGCCTTCAAGAGATTATAGTCAGCAGGTTTTAACTGCTCCAGATTATATATAAATATATATATTTACAGATTCTCACAACCAAATTATGTTTATTTATTTATTTATTCCAAATGAACACACATGAAGCAAAGTACCAACAGAAGATAGGAAAATCAGGTTAAATTCTCCCCACAACTCAACATGCTCAAACCTTTTGTATCAAGATTACTTTGTAAAAGAGGCTAAGTGAGGAATTGTAAGCCCAGAAAAAGCTCTTTCACTTTCTTATGACGGCCACTTAGAAGTGCACATTTGCTTAAAGTAAGCAAAATGCCCATATATTTGTTGTGTTCATTGGCCAACATACCACCTCTGTTGTGACCTTGAAATTCAGTTCAAAGTAAGTGTGTTATCTTGTTAATGTTACTTGAGAACTGATTATTTTGGATAGCTGTACTGTATATACTGTAGATTTGGAACTGCTGCACCTTGGAGTAGTGGACTGCTCTCTTTAGCTTTTACTATGTCAGGAGGACAGAGTAAGGTTTGTAATGTTGAATTTGTATGTGAATTTGGTCTGTTGATTTCTCTACATAGTAGTACTCTAGTGATACATCAGCATTGGGGAAAAAAGCACACGATTCAGCTGTAAACTCTGTCACGGTAGAACTGAATGTATTTATCTTTTGACATCAATAAACTTCTGTGATGTGAAATACAAGCAGTCTTGATTATTCAGAATATTCATCAGAAAAGCAACTGAATACTGTTTAGTAGCACATTTATCCTGATAAGTATTACCTGGTTCTCTCAAAAGCATGTCAGTGAGACTGTAAAACCATAGCTATATGATCTTTGGGGAAGTTTGTCACATTTGAATACCAGCTAGGAAGCTACTGAATAAACATTCATCATTATGTATTGTGCTTTCAGATAATACTGCTTAGTACACATCACAGAAACATACAAGGCAGTGGGAACAAAAACATCACATTACCTTTGTTAGCTGATAATGGGCTTGTGAAGATAGAACAGGCAAACATTTACAATAATGCTCACGTATGTATATGATTAAATTAGCTGGGGAAATATGCTTACTTGACTCACTGTCTTTTCCAAGTGTTCTCGTGTCAAATAGGATGTTTGCAGCTACTATCTGAGCCTAGCATAGCAACTACTAACTAGGCAGGGGGAATACCCACTGAACAGAAATGTAAAAACAGTTGTGTTTTTGCAGCCTTAAGTTCTGTAACTGTGAAGTGTGTTAATAACTTTGGACAGTGCCAGGTTAGCTGTGGCCCGCTTCTTCTAGTCTTTATGCTAAGCCAATTGGTCAGGGATGTCAATCAATGTTCTCGTAATACGCGCAGCAAGAAAGCCTATGTCCCAAAATGTGAATCTTTTCCATAAACGTGGTTGAAGAGTTACCAAACTCAACTCTACAGTCAACAAAAAGCTGGGTCTACTGGTCAAGCCACAGTATGAAGTAAGTAGAGTCAGGGAACAAGCAGAGCTTCAAACAGATTCAGTAACAGGAGGAACATTAGGGAGACATTATATAATCAAGCGATGATGATTTGTTATCCCCTTTAACCTCACCAGACTATTACCTCAACGTGACTGAATATTTTTTATATAGGCCCATACTTGGGCAATGTAAATTGATCGTTGTGTCCATGTACAGTCTTCATGAGCCTCTACGTGGTGAAGGGAAGGGTCAGTACCAGATCCGGCATGTGTTATCCTTGCTGCCTGCAGGAGAGCACAGACAAACAGGTGGCTACACAGGAGGGTACAGCTGCACTCTTTTCATCTAAAATGTGCAATTAAGCATTTGTGACGGCTAGCAAGGAGCTGCTCAGGGCTTCGTTTTAACAGTGCATGGTTATCAGATGTGGTGTGTGTGTGTGTACAGTGTATACCTGTAATGATAGTGTCACCCTCATAGTTGAAGACACAGGAGAAGATCTCGTCTGTGTGCCCCTCCAGAACTTGTAGGCAGGCTCCAGACAGAACATCCCACAGACGAGCTGTCTTGTCTGAGCTGGCAGTCAGGACCCTGGTGCCCTGGGGGCTGAAACAGATCTACCAAGAGAGCCAGAAGAGTTAGTCTTATTCAGAGGTGTCCGTGAGTGTGCGCTACATGAGCGGTAAGTGAGCAAGAGAGAGTGCTGAATAAGAGATTATGCCAGAAGTGGTTGAAATGACGAAGGGAGGGGAAAATGAGTGAGTTTAGAACACTTTCACCACGTCAGCAGCATTTTCCCACAGAGGTCATTTGACTTTAAATACTTAAGGAGGATAACGGCACCAGTGGCATCACTTAGTGAAAAGTTTTTCCTGTGGAGTATTATGAAAATCATGGCTGAAGCTGATTGTGTTAGATCCTGGGTTTATTGTTCCCTGAATGGTTTTATATCCCCATAGTGAGGTAAAGGAAGAGATGATTAAATGAGGCTGGCTCTAGATGGCCATGAAAGTAAAGTGTGTTTTTATTAAAACTCTAAACTGAGTATTAGACAGGAAATGGAAACTGACTAGAGAAGAAGCTGACAAAGATAGAAGACCGGAGGAAGAAGATGAAAGTGGAAGCTATGACAGGTGCAGAAATGGAATAAAAACTGTTTAAAATGGACGGAGAAGAGAAAAGAAAACACCAGGAAAGAGAGAATGACAGGAAAGAGGTATAAATAAACAAGATCTGTCACAATTCTATATTACATTATAATTCTGACCTAATTTCCTAAATAGTGGAAAATGCAAAATATTATATTAGTTGCCAGCATACATACTAAAATTGCTTGATTATGGAGTGTTTTTTTTTATAGATGCCATGTAACCTTGCCTCAAGGATTATCAAAAGGTTGAACTATTACATGTGTCTGGTTTTTTTTTTTCAGCTTGGAAGCAGTGTATTGTTAATGTGCTCAACAAATTCCATGGCAATTTGACATTTGGATTGTGAAATATCTTCTGCGCAAACTTGTCATTTTGGTCAGGAATAAAGCTAATTGTGCGTCCAACGTTGGATACCACTTACTATCAGGGACGAAACATTTGTAAACAAAAGGTCGTGTGGATTCCTGACATGAGATGTTATATATATATACGGTAGAAACATGCATTCAGTCCATCATTTATATTTCACAGATTTAAAACAGGAAAAGATAGAATGGTGTAAGCATACAGAGTGGGACACTTGAACAGAGGGAGAGAGAGACCAATGGAGAGAAAAAAAAAACACAGTCATGGTTAAGAAGCATGGAGGGGAGGGGGAGAGGTGTCCTGTTAGGGAGAGATTAGTGTCATAATCCTCCATCCAGTCTATCTATTGCTGACTGCCTGATGTGTTTCAGTAAACAGAGGAAACTTCTCAGCCCCTCATACACAGAAACCCTCTGAGCCAGAACCTGCAGGACACACACACATCATGCAGAGCAAGACACCTGGAAAATAGTAAATGGGTTAAGTCACTCGTATTAAAGTACGAGTACTCAGCTAACGGCAGGCCAAGTTAAAGCTTCTTTTTGGAGATGTGTGATTACGTGTGATGGCATGGGTGAAGCATTTGGTGCTTTGAGTTCAAAGGCTAATAACACCAAGGTCAGACTTTGCTCACTTATGGTCAGGGATGACAGATGGTATTTGTAATTTCTCATGGGGAAAAAGAACACATCTAGTTTGGAGCCCAGAGATTCAATTAGTCAGATCAACAGAAGCATCACTACAGCCCTTTATGTCCTACTTGCTGAGCTTTACCATGTGACGTAGTAAGCACAAAACAGCCTGAAGCCTGGACTCCTGTCCCTGCACTTCAGCATCACGCTTTATCCCATGTTAACAAGGCAATATCCTATTTACAGCATTGGCCAGAGCTGTAGCTAGAGACTGGGGGTTGATGTTACACAAAAACTACAAGCTCATCCAGACCTGCTAGTACCCTGGTGCATCTACAAACTTGTGTTTGTGCCCCATGGCTCGTTATAAACAAGTCTGGGATGTAAGTAACACGTATTATAGCTAACATTTTATTTTCTGTTGCTATGTCCATTAATATCACAGGCTGACAAGTAGTAAATGTGCCCCATGCTGTTTCCTATTCATTTTCTAGTCATATACACAATTATGATGAAATGGCCTGGAGAGCCTAAGTTGTGTTTCACTTCTGTGCTACTCTCTGTTCAACTAGCCTTCATTACACAATACATGGCTATAAAAAGCTGAAACATAAGCTAAGATTTTGTTACCATACCTCTCTGGATAGCTTTGGAGAAACACAGGCGTCCTAATCTTATGGTATATACTGGATTCATAGTTGCAAGAGCTAAAAATAGACTCATTGGTATACCTTTGTTAAAATGTTTTACAAGTGTTTTTTTCAAATTTAGAAGAATAAAGAAAGTAGCCCACAAATGGGGAGAGATTTTGGCAATCTATGTTTACATAAAATAACTTTTCACAGGCTGTCCAGTGACTTACTTTGGAGATCTCTCCATCGTGGCCCTCTAGGATCAAGAGACACTGGTGTGTGGTTGCACTGAACACTCGCGCTGTGCCTAACAAAAAACAGGGACATGCAGGGTTGTAAGTCTTCATGCGTTTTGTATATATATATATTTTACACATCAAAATATTGATTTTGTTGAATATAGGCCTCAGGAAAAGTAGAAAATCTGGTATTAGAAAAGTTCAAGTAAACCTCAGGCATATGATCAAAACAACAGATCACTGCTGGAGAGAGTGAGTGAAATAAATACAGGAACAAGCATACATAAATAAACTTTACTAGTAATGTCAATCTTAATTAAATGAATTGTTACCATCAGCAGAGGCAGTAGCAATGAGGTGACCACTTAAATCAAAACACACATCTAGCACCTCTTCTTTGTGTCCGACTAGGGTGGCCACACACTTCCCACTGACGGCCTCCCACAACTGCAAATATATACACACAACATTTAACAATTATAATTATACACACACACAGGCAGGAAACACATAAGCAGAAAAAATACACACATAAATGTCAACAAACACATACCACAGTCTCATAAAATATGCTAGTATGTAGCTGTTAGTTCTTAAGTGGCTTTTTTTTTAACCATCTCCCCTGGAGAAATGCAGTGAGGTGGATAATTCTTACTTGTGAGCATGACTCATCTTGGCATAATTAAGGAATTAAGGATTAATTTTTCTCCTTTAAATGATGGAGACCTTAGAGACAGGAGGTGGTAAGAGACGGAGATTGGGAAATAGGGTAGGATGAATATGAATGACAAGAGCCTTTCATTTCAAATACGTATGCCTTGCGATAGTTTAAAATGCTAAATGAATGACAAACTATTACTGTGGGCAATTCCAGTCAGTAAATTGACTTTTTGGCAAAAATAAATGTATTTGCAGGAGTTAAAAAAAAACTGTACACACACAATTGTATGTTTTTAAGTCTTTGGTGATGATAGCTCACCTTGCAATTTTTGTCCATGGAGCCTGTGACTATGAGGGAGCAATCCCAGTTAAACTGAACATTGCTGATCTCCCCCCTGTGACCAATCAGAGTGTGAACACGTCTGAGAAGAACAGAAAACACAGCAGTGAGTCAGTCACTTGTGCACTCTTGTAAGCAGAATCTATAGGTGCTATGCATGTACGGTACACAATAATTGGTGACACGTGCACAAATCAACGCATACATGATTGCAGAAACAATGACAATGTCTGACTCACTGTCTTGAAGCCACATCCCATATAGCTACTGTGTGGTCGAAGGAGCCAGTGACAAGTTGGTTTCCCACTGTGTTAAAGCACAGAGAGAGGACCTCTGCAGTGTGACCCTGGGTGAAATCAAAAAGAGAGCATAATCCCTCACTGCCTCATTTCTTTTCTCTTTTAACCTCCCTCTCGTTCTCTCCCTCTATGTTCCCGTACGGATGAAAATACACACCAAAAACGCAATATTATTCATTTAAATAAACATACAGACTCATGCCTTAAAGGTAGATTCTTAAACTCTTGACATAAATAAATAAAAATGAGCATAAGCTTAAGAGTCTGTGCTCAATTGGCGGCTGTTAGGATGATTGATTCTTCATGGTGCAAAGCACTAAAAAAACAGAGAGAGCTGCAGAGAGATTCTTCTCACTGAGACAGAGCCAGCCAGCCAGCCAGTCACACCATGGACCCACGTGCAGTCTGTACATCAAAGAGAGCTCACTACTCCCTTCAGAGTGGGTTATCAGTGCCTTATTAAGGAGTTACAGCTACGTGGGGTAGAAAAGGCACCGGCCATCAGCAGGAGTAACAACACTCAATTTTGGAATACTTACTCGTAAAATGTTTATTTATGCATTATTAATAAAAGGAAGTGAACCATACCAGAAAAAAGAGCAAGAGAGGCACTGGGTATAAGTAAAGAAAATATATCTCACAGTCAGAGTGGCCACCTCTTCTCCAGTCTCCACGTCCCACAGCTTGGCAGTGGCATCCATGCTGCCTGTGGCCACCAGTGTACTCTGGGGGTTGAACGACAGGCACACCTACACAGTACAAAACACTCTTTTACACTCACTAGTGCTGGATTCAGCTACAAAGGCAAAAATGATTTGGCAGACTTATTTATTATCTAAGCATTAAACATAATACCAAAAAAAAAGCAATACACTATGCAATGTAAATGCTCACTTGGGCCCAGCTAAAGGCACTTGGTCATATATGGTAAAATATTACGTATGAAGCAACAAATGAGTACAAATAAACCAAAAATAAATCATTTTCAGTTAAACCAGATTGTCATACATACTATTTCTGCCCTGTGTCCACGAAAGGTGTGAAAACATTTGCCCGTCTCAGCACACCACAGTTTGCAGGTCTTATCAAAAGAGCCGGTGGCAATCTTGTCTCTACGTTCCAGAAAGATAAAATAAAGCAAAACAACTGTCATCTGAAGATGAACAGCCCCTTTGAAAGGCTAAATACTTCGAGCATTGTTCTCAGTTGCTATGAAATTTTTGCTGAAACAGCTCATTACCCATAGGGGTTGTTGAAGGCAATTGCATACACCACGTTTCTGTGACCCTCCAGTGTATGCAGCTCTGTGCCTGAGGCTGTGTCCCAAACTCGGCATGTCCTGTCATAGCTCCCAGTTAAAAACCTGCAGATTGTTAGTGAAAACAATAAATAACAACAACAAAAAAAATACAGAGATTTCCCTGAACTCCAAAGTGCAAGGCTTTTGAGTTGCAGATTAACCTACCTTGACCCTGATTTGTCAAAGGCAACATTGGTCAGTGGGAGTATGTGTGCCTTAAGCTCCTGCAGAAAAGACCAGAGAGAGATTAGAAAATATAACTTTCAGGCAGGGTAGTTATTTACTTCATTCATCTTAAGATCACCCATGTATACCCATATATAATTACTCTGACTTTGATGCAATGGACCTCTCCCTCCTGGCCCTACAGGGGTGGAAGGATTTTCTCTCCTTATGCAGAACAGTCTCTCACCAGTTTTAGACACAGGCAGAAAGCACCACAATCCTCTGACCTTTAGCCATGTAACCAACCCTCTTACCAATTATTACTCCTTAAGACACTCATGCAGCAGTTGTTGTTATCATGTTTTTAGACTGTTGGCATGCTTGTTAATCAACAACTTAGTAACCTAACCACTGCTGCTCTCTAGTGCCTCTTTGGAGCACTGGCTAATTTCACTGCGCAAACTCCTTACTTTCCACAGATGTAAATAACAGAAAGGCAAGAAACTACTATACTGCTGTAATTAGCTGATGTTGCCAAGCATTTCATCATCCAAAATCTCTTCAACTGCTTGTGTTTAATAGAGTAATGCAGCTTTACAGAAAGAAAAATCCACAACAGTTTGTTTCAGTCCCACAGTCTGATAGATGAACAAAGCGCTTTCGACACTTGTTTCACAAAATCATACCACAGATTTCACAATCTGTCCTGGGACTGAATAACAATACACTCTAATGAATAACAGCTACTTTACTGTATCTAGATGTTGTGTCACTGTGTTGAATTGCTCATTATTGGCCAGTAATGTCGGTATGAGTCCAGTCTCTTGCCTTGGAGAAACAGAACCTGTGGTGGTCCTGCTGGCCCTGTTTCTGCTGAAGTCGAATGATCAGCTGTTTGACCTGTTCAGCCCTGGACTCTGTGATCAGAGGCTCTGATTGCCTGATTTCTGCCAGCAGCTCATCTGGGTTTGCTCTGCATGGGGGGAAAAAATGCAATTTTCAAATGTCAAATCACCTGATGTGATCATTTAAAAACGTGATAACACGAGAAAGATTACAAGCGTAATAATAAGAATCGTGTCAGTTAATCGTAGACGTCAACGGTGTAACGAAATGAGACACTGCTGGAGATTAAATACAGAGGATTAAATTCACTCAGCTCTTTACCCAAATAAACAGTGTGCATAGAAAAAGCACTGCTCCTCTTGTTGATTTAAGTACACTGATGAGTGTCAGTATGATCTGAGCTAAACTGATTATCCCTAATTTGTAGTCAAAAGCTCGACTTTGTCATTTAAACAAACGTACATACATAACAATAATTAATACATTAATCTGTGTTACATCATATCAAGGAACTTCCACTTCACAATTTACAGTATAATTAACTTCCCTCTACATGTAACAGGGTTAAATAGTGCAATGGGTGTCAGCTGTTGTAGCCTAGTAACGTTAGGTAGTTAGTAGTTAGTCGACTCCATCATTGAGCTCAATGTGCTGAGGTCAATGATGGCTCTATGGGTGATAGGTAAGGGTTATATAACACAACTCACCCTGGAGTCAAATCCAAAAGGTCGATTGATTTGGTCTTCAAATATCCTCCTTTGTCATATTCCAAGATTATACCTGAGAGCAGAAACACAGATGAGCGCAGGGAAGGCCACTCATACCAACGCTAGCACCAACTCAGCTTCCGTACAGTCATTTGTGGAAAGTTGGAAGCCTTCCTCTGTGCCATATTCAACAACAACTAACGTTAACGTTGGAAGAACTTTTAGTGGTAACATCATTTGCATTACCTGGTGGATAATATCTGAGGAGGAACCGCTTGAGTTTCATGTCGCCATGTATTCCGGACACTTTAACAGTTACGTCACCTATCAACAAACCGTTGCTGTGGCGACGGGCCTGCGCGCACGTGCCCGCGTGCACTCACTGCTCATGCGTAGTACGAACACAAACAAACCAAAGTTTCATTTAAAGCTGGTTAACGCAAATATATGCTAGGGTTGTTACTTACTGCTTTTTTTATCTTTATTTCTACACAAGGGACTATGTAGTATCGTGCTCTAGACCAGGGGTTCTCAATAAGTGGTCCGGGGACGCCCCAGGGGTCCTTGAGAGGGTTTCTAGAGGGTTCCCAGAACAATGAGGAATATTTTTAATTTCACTATTATTCCATTGGCTAAAAGTTAGCCCGATGAGAGAATATATAATAATTACTATTCTGTTCATAGGTTTCACATTCTTCATTATTAATCTGCCAATCTGCAGACACTTATAGAAATTGGTGAACCAGGATCTTATCACATACAGTCTGTGGCCTGATGTATATCAATTTGGGGGACCTTGACACCAAAAAGGTTGGGAACTACTGCTCTAGGCTTTACTATACTGGGCTCCTATACCAATACAACTCTCTCATGAATTTCTGGTGTTTGCTAGTTACATGCCTAGGCAATTGAGGAACATACAAGATATAAACAGCAGTTTGCTATAAGTTTCTCATAGACTAACTCATAGAATTTAAACCCCCTTACAACGTGTGTTTGTGTTGTATATTGTGAATGATTGTAATATTGTTGTTGTACCGCTGTTTATTTAACTTTTTTTATACAGTTTGAGAATTGTTTAATCACTTAATAACAACTTCCTGTTAATAAATATCTGCATTTATGCTGCAGAAGGGGATTCATTATTCCCAGGCTCAATTTTGCAAGCCTCTGCCAAACAAAAATACATTTAATTTAAACCTCTAAAATTGTTTTATATAACCTGAAAAAATTTCATTTCATTAACACTTAGCTATCCTTCTGTTTCCTAACAGGTCAAAGTCTATCACTCATAAACTGTGACAAATCCACATGCAGACCATAAAAATGATGATGAATTCTGATAGCTGAACAGTCACTGCCCTTATAGGATAGTCCAGGTAGTCAGACTTTTTGCTGAGATTCTGCTGAGGTAAAAACATGCTCTGTTGGGCCAACCTGAAGTCCTCCGTCTGGGCTTATCCCACCGCCGTCCTGTGCCTTTATGGTTTTTTTGCTAACTGCAGAATGGCAGAGCCCTTCCTCATACCGTACCTGATTGGACCACACAAGAACATCTCTGGAGAAGTGGTAAGAATGGTAGACACATACAGCCTGTATACATCAAGTACTGTATCTTTCATTAGGAGTACATCTGAGACCAACCACTCTTCAGTTTTAATTGACAATGAGATATGCATGCCATAGACAGGAGACTGGATCAGCATTTTTATTCTCTGGTGCTTGTTGCTTCTCACAGGTGACCAACTACCTGTTCCCTATCTGGACATATTCCTACCTGGCCTTCCTTTTTCCTGTCTTCCTCCTGACTGACTTCCTGAGGCATAAGCCCCTCATTATGGTACAGGGGCTCTTCCTGGTCACCAACTACATCCTGCTCTGCTTTGCCCCGGGTCTGCCTTCTATGATCTGCCTTCAGGTCGACGGAAATCCTGATAAAAATTGTTTAAAACGGTTGAATAGTAATAATGTTCCTCATGTAACAATTCAAAATAATCAAAGCTGCAGCATTTATAATTCAGACATGCACCTGATGTCGTATGTCCTGTATGTAAGTTTAATAATAACCAAAAATATATTATTTAATATTATTACTCAAGAGGAACTTGGGATAGAATGCATTATGTTACACATTACTGGTATAAGGTGCTCCATCATAGCCTGCCATCTCTTTAAAACTGTTCCATCCCGTTGACAGGTCAACTATGCTGTAGTGACATCCACTGAGGTGGCTTACTTATCCTACATTTACAGTGTGATTCCAGTTGAGCATTACCAAAGAGCCACTGGTTACCTGCGCAGTGCCATGCTGGCTGGATATACATTTGGTGCCAGCCTGGGCCAAATACTCGTCTCGCTGGCAGGTAGGGTTTCCTAGCCTATAAATACGGAATAAATGAAACTATACACTAAATACAGGAGCTCTATATTGTCTATATATAAGTCTGGAAATCTGCTTTTACTGCATGCATGACAAAATTAACTATTGAGCAATCATTGATCAAGTATGAACTGTGATCAACAGGAGTGGACTACTTCTACATCAATGCTATTACTCTGGGGATTGTAAGCATGTCTTTTCTCGTCTCCTTCTGGTTGCCCATGCCCCAGAGGAGCCTGTTCTTCAAAGGGAAAAAGGCTGCAGCTGTGGGCTTGCAGTCCCAGCAGGAGGGCACCAAGGAACCAGTGATGGATATGGATGAAGTTGGCTTGGGGAAAGACAAGATGGAGCATAATGGCAGTGCTGGCTGGTGCAGCGGGGAAAATGTGGCGACGGCAGGCCATCTACTTTGGCAAAGCTTCAGGGAGTCGTATTCTTCCAGGCATTTTCTTTTTCCTATTTTTTATATGCATCACGCTTTAAGTGCAGATCTGCTGAGCACACAACTTTTATACATTTTGTCCTGTGTAAAGCTTTATTTTACTTTAGCAAATGACCAAATGAAATTAATCTTCAATGTGGCGTTTTCTATAATGTATTCATATACTTTTTTTTAGAGTAGGAAGAGCTTTCTTGATACAATCATGATCATAATCTGTTTAAATAATGTCCACCATGCAGGCATTTAATCTATTGGTCCCTGTGGTGGGCTCTGGCCACAGCTGGCTACGTGCAGATTTTTAACTACATCCAGCTAATGTGGGACCATATAGAACCATCTGCCACATCGTCTGTCTACAACGGAGGTGTAGAGGCTGCGTGCTCTCTTGTGGGTAAGACTGGTTGTAGGTGTGTAGGTGTGTGTGTGAGAGAGAAAACCATTCAGAAAGAGGTTCCCGTTTCTGGTATGATCATACCTCTGCTACCTCTGTCTGAGTTAATATTGTCATGTGTCAGGTGTAGGATTTAGGCCATATCTACAGCCAGTGTTTGGTTTGTCTGTTATGGGCTACTGTAGAAACATGACAATCTCCATGGATGAGGACCCATACATACAGTGCCTTGCGAAAGTATTCGGCCCCCTTGAACTTTTCAACCTTTTGACACATTTCAGGCTTCAAACATAAAGATATAAAATTTTTATTTTTTGTGAAGAATCACCAACAAGTGGGACACAATTGTGAAGTGTGAACGAAATCTATTGGATTTTTAAACTTTTTTTAGGGCAAATAAAAAACTGAAAAGTGGTGCGTGCAAAATTATTCGGCCCTTTACTTTCAGTGGCAGCAAACTCACTCAGAAGTTCAGCGAGGATCTCTGAATGATCCAATGTTGCCTAAAATGAACTGATGGTGATAAATAGAATCCCACCTTTGTGTAATCCAAGACTCTGTATAAATGCACCTCTCATGTGATAGTATCAGGGTTCGTTGAAGAGCGCAGAGGCATCATGAAGACACAGGAACACACCCAGGCAGGTCCGTAATAACTGGGTTTTTTTTTTTTTGTGGAGAAGTTTAAAGCCGATTTGAATACAGAAAAGGATATTCCCAAGCTTTAAACATCCCCAAGGAGGCAACTGGTGCAAGCGATCATTTTGAATGGAAGGAGTATCAGACCACTGCAAAATCTACAAACGACGCCCGTACCCTCTTAACTTTTCCAGCTCAGGACATAGGAAAGACCTGATCAAGAGATGCAGCCAAGAGGCCCATGATCCTCTGGATGAACTGCATGAGAACTACAGCTGAGGTGGGAGAGTCTGTGTCCAGTAGGCAACAACAATGCAGTCGTACACTGCAACAAATCTGGCCTTCTTATTGGAAGGCAGTGCAAGAAAGAAAACCATTTCTCAAAGATATCCATGAAAAAGTCCTCATCTAAAGTTTTCGCCACAAGCCACCTGGGGAGAACACCCATAACACGTGGAAGAAGGTGCTCTGGGTCCAGAGAAACCAAAATCGAACTTTTTGCCACAATGAAAACGATAATTGTTTGGCGTAAAAGCCAACCAGCTCATCACCTCTAACAACACATCCCACACTGTCAAACAATGGTGCGTGGCAGTCATCATGGTTGGCCCTCTTTTTTCAGCAAGGGACAGGGAAGATGGTTCAAAATTGAAGGGGAAGACTGGAGCAGCCAGAAATATCAGGAACCATCTCTGGATGGAAATACGCTGTTGGAAGTCTGCAAAAGACCTTGAAACTGGGCCGGAGATTTATCTTCCAACAAGACAATGATCCGCAAAACATAGCAGCAAAATCTACAAAGGAATGGTTCACAAATAAACGTATCCAGTGTTACGAATGGCCAAGTCAAAGGTCCAGACGTTGAAATCCAAATCGAGAATCTGTGGAAAGAGCTGAAAACTGCTGTTCACAAAACCTCTCCACGCCCAACCTCCACTGAGCTCGAGCTGTTTTTGCAAGAAGATGGGCATAGAATTCTTCAGTCTCTCGACTGTGCAACAAACTGATAGACATAACCCAAGCGACTTGCGGCAGCTTGACCATCGCAGCAAAAGGTGGCTCTAAAAAGTATTAACGCAAACGGGTGCAAATATTGTTTGCACCGCCCCCACCCTTTTCAGGTTTTTTATTAGTTAACAAAAGTTTCAAACAATCCCAATACGATTTTCCGTTCCACTTCACAGATTGTGTCCCACTTGTTGGTGATTCTTCACAAAAAATAAAAATTTTATATCTTTATGTTTGAAGCCTGAAATGTGGCAAAAGGTTGAAAAGTTCAAGGGGGCCGAATACTTTCGCAAGGCACTGTACCTACAGCATGCATATCATATTCCATTTCTGCCATTAGATTCTCGTAATGTTACACACTGGACCTTTAGATTATTTAGATATTCTATATTTTTCATCCCATCAAATAACCAAAATCAATAATTTATCCTACTGAGTATCGTCTGTGCAGCCAAGGCTTTATATAGTTTATTTCTCTGCGATGTAGACCTCCTTTATTGTCCAAAAACAATTAAAAAACACATCAATGAGCAAACTTTTCCACTGGTTGACATGTTTGACATTACAATGAATGTGGGCGCTGTAGTAAATTTGTTGTTGATCCCACATACACCATCCTGGGATTTGTTGACAATAATAAAAATACAGAATATCGCCTGCTTCATCTTTTAAATAAATATTACTCCTGGTTTTCACCACACTGAGAACAGCAACCAGGAGTTAAATTAACACGGGAGAGGGCAGAAGTTTATATAGACCAAAATAAAATGTAAGTTTTATTAAAGGCTGCCATGTCTGATGGCACACAGACCTATAAAAACTTGCAATTAAAAGAAAACAACCTTGCCATTCTCGGTTTAATGGGATACCTGATTAAATGGAAAATATGTATTGATTTTGAAAGGGAATAGCAGCACCATGGTCCTGTTGGCTTACCCTCAACCTGGCTCAGCATGAGAAGAAGAAGAAGAAGAAGAGTAATTGCTTCAATCAAGGAGATAGAGTTAGCTGGTAATGGATTCTCTAAATATTGCTGATAGTTGAATCCAAGAGCTGGGAGGAAGTGATTCATCATAATAGGCTAGTTCCATGGAGACTAGCAAAGGCATGTGTGCGCATAAGGTTTTGTGTAGAGGCCACATCACCCTTTATACCTTCATTCAAGGAAAGACATGTTGTTGTAGGTTTAATGAATGAATCACAAGAATGCACAGGCACAGTGGAGGTGTTGTCTGCTGGAATGACAGATTAATCACGTTCATCTTTCTCTTTCATGGGTCAGGTGCTGCAGCGGCCTTCTCCGTGGGCCACGTCAAGGTGAACTGGGCCGTGTGGGGAGAGCTGGCATTAGGGTTGTTCTCAGCTGTGGCCACAGGTGCTGTGTTTCTGATGGCACTCACCAGCAGTATCTGGGCCTGCTATGCTGGTTATGTTGTATTTAAGTCCTGCTACATGCTTCTCATCACCATCACAGCGTAAGCTCACAGTGGAATTCCTTCAAACTAACTTTTATTCTGTGTGTAACGAAGAACATCTAACCTTAACCCTGATAAAACTCCATAGGAATTATTAGAAAGGTCCTGCAGTATGGTTTTATCTGTAAAACAAGCTTTACAGTCAAAGAAGGCTGTTTTTTTAATTGCTCAATTTTTGCAACCAAAATTCCCAAACCTTTAGTTATTTAATTCACAATAATATACAAAACAAAGCAAAAAAATACTAATTGAAGAATCTGGTACTAGCATGTTTGGCATTTTGACTTCAAAAGTGATCCAAACTATGAACTGGTGATCAAAATAGTTGATTAATTTTCTGTCAAACTCAACCGGTCGACTAATTGTTTTAGTTTTCTATTGTGCATTGCTTGGAAATATTTATGACAGTCTAAACATACAGCATAGTTTTCTCAGAAATTATAAGCACTTTGTCGCTGTAGATTTCAGATCGCATCCAACCTCTCCATGGAGTGCTACGCTTTGACATTCGGGATCAACACTTTTGTAGCCCTTTCACTGCAGACCCTCATTACACTCATAGTTGTGGATGAAGCTACACTGGGACTGGACATTGTGACACAGGTATGTATGTACACAGTGTTCAGTTCTAACTGTTTTTATTTTACTGGCAGAATGCAGGTGTTTAATGCTGACAATCTCTGGGTGAATCAACAATGTGCAGTTTGCAGCATAAGCTTTCCGGCTGATAATGATGACACTAAAAAGGGAGGACAGAGCGACACCTTGTGGGTGTTCTTCACTGTTGCATGAAGCCATGTCTGATGAAGACTGATCCATTGCATGATTAAAATAATAATGTTGAGGATGACAGAAGGCTTTCTCTGCAGTTCATCATCTACGGCAGCTACTACGCCGTCATTTCTGTGCTGTTTCTGATTCGAGGGACTTACACCGCCTGTGTAAATCAACACAACCCTGAACACACCCAAACCAAGGAGGCAAGTGTGGAGGTGATTTCTACTGAACGTTTCTGACAAAGGTCAACAAACTGTTATATTCTTAAACTGTTCCATGTGTTTATGGGGAATAAAACAATTGTGTATCCTACTGCATTACTGTTTTCTATTGAGTCTAAACTGAGTCTCATATTGCCTCCAAAATGGTGCCATAGATACAAAAATGGCCTTTAGTTGCAGTCTGACCCCATGGGTGTTTTCTATATTACCTCTACAACGTGTTATCTCTACAATTATCTACAGAGGAAGCCAAACAGTATAATAAAGCTGAAATTATTACTTGATTACTGATAGGTAAGTAAGTTCTAAGATTTGTCTGCTTGGCTGTTTAATGGTTGTGTATCTGAGCTGGACGGTCACCAAGGTTGTGCTGCTCTTTGACCGGGTTGTTGATTGACGAACCAAGCTCAAACACTTAGGCAACTTCAGGTGTTTTTCTCACAAGGAAGCAAGACATAAAAACTAGCATGCCAAGGAAGGTACACACACACACACACACACACACACACACACACACAGTAAACCAGTAGAAGAAGAGCAGAAGATGGAGGCAGTGAAGAGGTGGAAGGCAGACTGGAGGTATCCAACAACTCTCCTGTGCATTTATGGATTCTTCAGCACAGTTAAACCCCTGGAGCCTTTCATCATCCCATACTTGACAGGACCGGACAAGAATCTGACAACAGAACAGGTATGAAATAACTTAAGCAAATCATGAATCAGACAAATATGATATATAGATCAATCAAAAGAGCAATCATGTAGCCTACATACAGTTTCTGTTTGACTTCCGTTGACATTTTTGTACTTGCAGAAACTACATTTACATGTTAATTTTGTACAAAATAACCACGTTTATGAATCATACTAAAGATTTAAATGCAGTCTTTATTATTTGAGTGATAAAAATCCAATCATGGTGATCCTTTGGTCATTTGATTTATTGCTATGAAGCAATACAGTTCCCATCTTCAATGAAACCATTTATTGGCGTTAACTCATCAGGTAAGCAATCAAATCTTCCCGGTGTGGACGTATTCCTACCTGTGTGTGCTGGTGCCGGTGTTCCTGCTGACTGACTGGCTGCGTTACAAGCCTGTGGTGGTGTTCCAGTGCGTCAGCCTCTTCATCACGACAGCAATGCTCCTCTGGATGGAAAGTGTACCAGCCATGCAGGCCATGCAGTTCTTCTACGGGGTGGTGACAGCCAGCGAGGTGGCCTATTTCTCCTACATCTACAGGTCCTGTACTGCAGCTCACAGGGCAGGGTTTTGCATTTTGCATTGTTTGGACAGATATGACATTTTGGTTGTGTTGTTTATTACAGTGTGGTAGACCTGAAAAGGTACAGGAAGGCCACCTCTTACTGCCGCAGTATCCAGCTCCTGGGCTACACAGTGGGCTCTGTACTGGGCCAGCTTTTCGTCAGCTTCAACCTCATGTCCTACAACAACATCTTGGTGTTCACTCTAGTTCTCACCGCCATCGCTCTCCTCACTTCCTGCCTCCTGCCAATGCCACAGCAGAGCATGTTCTTTCACCGCAGGCATACTAGACAAAAAACAGCAACAGAGGGAACAAAGAGGCATAGTAGTGTAGGTGGGACTGGGTATGCAGCAGAGCACACAAGCGGGTCAAATGTATCCCTGGAAGAAGTAAGAGATGAGGAGGTGCAAGCAAAAGATGGTCCGGATGAAAAAGAGCATAAGGCTGAGGACCTTGAGGAGTCGGTTGGTGCAGATACCTGCAGCAAAGTCCTCCTCCAGGTATGGAGGGACTTCCGGCAGTGCTATGCTTCCAGACAGCTGCTTTACTGGTCAGTGTGGTGGGCGATGGCCACCTGCGGCTATAACCAGACTGTCAACTATGTGCAGGTCAGTTGGGGAGGCAACATAAAAAAAGAAGCGAAGATACTTTGTGCATATCTATGACAGGATCACTTTTGATGGTCACTGCAATATATCCTGCAGGTGCTGTGGGAGCATGTGCAGCCTTCTCAGAACTTCAGCATCTACAATGGAGGCGTGGAGGCAGCGTCCAACCTGTTGGGTAGGTGGCAAGTTCCCAGTGCAGGATACAGACCAATGAAGGGAAAAACTAAATATAACCTATAGTGTCTCATTGTTGTGGCCACTGTATGGAACGCTATTATACCAAATTCAAGGTCTACATTTGATTATGAAAGGCAAATGACTTAAAAGCTTTTGATAGATCTCAAACCCATTTTCCCTAATGCGTATTCAATTGTCACCTCTACTACAATAATCCTAAATTCATGTGTTTTGCAGGTGCAGCAACAGCCTATGGTATAGGCTTCACTGAGGTGAGGTGGGAACAGTGGGGGGAGCTGGCCCTGGGTGGTTTCTCTGGACTCGGGGCAGCATCACTCTTCCTCATGACCTTCATCGGAAACATCTGGGTCTGCTACACCGGTTACGTCCTTTTCAAGTGCCTGTACATGTTGCTGATAACGATTGCAATGTAAGAGTGTTATACGATAAAACGGGTTGTTTGTACCACTTAGTTCAGGCCTAATTTTATTGCAGGCAGAGCAGGAAAAAGAACATTTCGATGAACAAAACACTTCTCTTTAGGTACCAGATTGCAGCTGACCTGTCAATGGAAAGATATGCATTGGTCTTTGGAGCAAACAACTTTGGAGCATTGGCTTTACAGACCATCATCACTTCTGTTGTGGTTGATAGTAGAGGACTGGGCCTGGGCATCATTCCACAGGTGAGCCATCTGATCAGAAAATATCAATCAGGCCTTCCGTAGATGTAGCAGAAGTGTTTATATGTCCACTCATTACAGTTACAAGTGCATTTAAAATTGTGTTGTTTTTTTTTTGCAGTTCACCATATATGCCAGCTACTTCTCAGTCATCGCTGTTGTTTTTTCAATTCGGGGACTGTTTACCATTTGGAGAGCACAGAGAAGCAGCAAAGAGTCCACCTCTCCAGACGAAAATGAACCTCCAAACTCTGATGAACACAGATTGTGAATAAAAGGTTTCAAAGCAAACAAAGCTTTAAATTACTGACTGCAAGACCATGAATATAAATCCTTTTTTTTTTTATATATACAAAACAAATATATACAAGATTTCATACATCCATATAAATGAATGGTTTGGTCAGTCCTTCTTACTTAAAATCCATTTTAATATATATTCTGTATATATTTACATATTAACTTAAAATTCTCTAATACCCAATGCAAGTGGTTTTCAGCTCAACAGCCATACCTGTTACCCACTTCTAGGTGTGGTTGTAGTTCAGAAGCACTGTGACCTGGGTCTCTGTCAGCAGGGCAGGGGATGGCAGAGAATTGAGTCCCCCACCTGTCCCTGATGTCACTCCTTTCATTTTCATCTCTTGCCAACAGAATAGGCTTTTTTTTTTTTTCTTTAGTGAGAACAGTTTACCTAAAAGGATCCTGCACAAATAAACAGTTTGGTTCTTCACAAATACAGTAAGTGGCAGTACCCATTAGCTTTTCCAAGCAACAGTTCTGTCTTAACAAATCTTGTGTTACATACAAATACTGATATGCACAAAGAGCTAATTTACTAAAAGAAAAATAATATGTACAGAATTGCAGCATAATGAATGGGATACACTATATGCAATAACTTAGTTTTCAGCCAGTTTGAGTATACATTGTGGTTCAGTAGAGGCCAGTTCACAGGTTAAATAGAGAAGAGGGGATCAACCTCTCTCTCTGCACACACACCATCACTTGGTTTTGTAGCCATAGACAAAGTCAGCATGACTGTCTGTCATATTGTTCCATCTGTGACAAACTGCGATAGAAAATACAAATCCTTACAAACATTGTGTTTTTAAAGCTACTTGTGAAACAAAACAGTGCAATAGGTGCAAGCGCGCCAGTTGTTGACCCTGTAGTGGAGCTGATTGGATGGATCGCTATAAGAAGGGATTTGTTGAAGAGCCTGCTGCTGGATATTGTGCAGATGGACCCGCACCCTGGAAGAAATAAGCGACACACAAACACACAAACAGAAAAAGTACTTGTTACTAACCATTAACATAACATGACAATGTTTAGCTTAAATCCAACCACTTGTGTCTTTTTTTAATTAGAACTGAAACAATAGTGGCAATGTAATCAACGGTCTATTCAATGGAATTAAAAATGAGGAATTAGGTGACTGCCGAATCTGTATTAACAACAATCCTTTGTGTAAAACTAATTTCTTTTACAGGAAATAATGCCATATAGCCCTCGTACTAACCAGGAAAGGGTTGCTAGAGACCATAGGTCCAGCTATTGCCTGCCCGAAAGGAGTCACAACAGGCTTGGCCTGGCCAAAGGCTGGAAATCCTCCACCTGAAAGACGCACACTGTCATTTAGGAGATGTGGAATACCCATCCAACAAATTAATTATAGCAACAACCAATCAAGAAGGACTTTTTTGAGCCCGGCCACAGACTTTAAGCATAGTTATTAATGCAGATATGTCTAAATACACATAATCTACACACAGACACACACCGTTGGGTTGCTGGGGATACGCAGGAGGTTGAGGGAAGGGGGCCTGGCCAGGAAAAGGTTGCTGGAAGGTTCCACTAAAGCTGGTGGGAAGGTTGTAGGCTGCAGCATTCCCAAATCCAGCCGGCATACTCATGGAGCCTGTGCCGAAAGACGCTGCAACACAGCAGGACAGTGAGTGGTTAAAGAAACCCGTACAAGACATCTTCAGGGATATGACAAAATAAGCTATTGCTTCATTTTATTTACGAACTTTATAGCACACACACACGGCTATAAAATGTGACGTTACACAGGAGATGGCACACAGCAGCAGGAAAAAAAACATAACTGAAGGCAAATACTTAGATGTTATTAATATCAGCAGTTTGTTAGAAAGCAATATATAAGTAGTAAACTTAAATGAGTGAGAATATGAACCACTAGACATTACAGAACAGTCAACAAGAAGACAAAAAAAGAAAATAGAAATATATCAGTCACTGTTTCTCTAATCCATAGTGTGACTCCCAAT